TAGTTATTCAAGGTATACAGAAAAATAGAAGAACTGAAGAATTGTAGTAAAAGAAATTGCGTGATACTTCTACCGACGTTCCCTAAAAATTTGCAAGTTTAAAAAGAAACGAAATTTTCAAGGGACCAAAATTTTCCCAGTTCTCACTTGGACAATATTAAATGGGAGTTGTGTCTGATATTAAGAAGCAATTGTTTGTTTAATAGAGATCACATCGAACTAGTTACCAACGTTTCACTGGTAAACTCATTAACGTCGATTTCATACGTATATTATAAAAAAGGAATTAAATAGAAACCACTGTAACACCAGATTAAAAACAAGTCAGTCCATCAAATTGTCATAAAACAGAAGTAAAAAAAATCCAGAAATTAGTTGCACAAGCTAAAAGTCGAATATGCTTTTACGCTTGCAAAGTCTGCAAAGAAAAAGCGAAAGCTTCCGCTTGCGCTGTTCGGTACACTTTGCGCTACAGTAACGTGATTGCGTTTAATTCGCGATTGCCCAACAAAAGTGAAATTTCACGATGCAGAGAAGACAATAAAGATACATGCGAACTTACCTCAATTTCGATGCAACTGTAAGAAGAAAAAGAAGAAGAAACAACGCAATCACAGTTAAATTTTCTGCTCGTTTTTCACGTGTATCGCACCGGAAGTCTGCGCGATTAGCGTAATCGCTAGGAAAATAAAAGCACCTCGACATATCTATTATACGTGACATGTTCCTTTCACGATGGCTGCTCATTTACGCTTCTTCTTCTCAAGTATTCTCTCGCGTGCACTTGTCGCGTCTCTTCACGGTGCGTACGCGTGAAAAACTATCACTGTGCAATGTTTCTCCGATAAATCGAGGAAAAGAACGTCAACCGTAATCGTAGAAAACGAAAGTGAAAGAATTGTGACAAGTGACGAAGAAAATTCTTCAAATAGAAATTTCCTTTTGTACAAATTAGCTTGCGTCAATTTTGTCGATTAATTTCGTGTTCCTATGACAATGTGATTGTAATATTGCTTTACGCTTTGTGTTTTATCATGGAAGGAGGCTTTGACGTGTACAATATCGAAACAGCGATGCCAAAGATCGATCTGGACGCGATCGAATCACACTTGAGAGCTGCACGCGAAGAGGAACGACGGGTAAGTGAAGAATTTTCACGTAAAATCGCATGATATCGTGTGTAACAAATGTTCCTCTTCCTACAATCTCTATCGAAGAGAAACGAAGTATCTCTGCCTGTGTAACAAGTCGCACAAAGACAATCGTCGAGAAGAACGAAACGTTTGCATGGAAATTCATCTCTTTGCATACTGAACCCTTTCACTTCAAGGTGTAAATGTTAATTACGGTGTTTTTATTTACATACCAATGTTTGCATGGAACAAAGAGTACGCCTCGTGGGTGCGTTGAGTACATATATACGCGGTGTTTGCCAGAGATGCAGTAACTATCGATGCAATTTTTTCTTCAAATTATTGTAACACGTTGAAAAATATTGCAAGACTAAACACTTTAAGAAAATAATCGTAACTAACAATTATATTGTAATTTATGAAATATTAACGAATAATATTTCTCGAAGAATTTCATCTTTACATTCGCTATGGCGATTCGAACGCGAAGCAAATGAATAAAAGAACAAAGCAACCGTCTGAAATTAAACCGAGATGTATATTACAGAAATTATTCAACATAGCGCTGACAAACACTGTGGTTACGCAGAGTGAAAAATGAAACGTGTGTGCACGAGCAGAAGGCGGGAAAACGTAATTGCAGCACTGGAAAGGGGGGAAGATAATTAGCAAATCTAGTGGAAGAGGGGAAAAAGTAGTAATTTCGCGTCCAGCTGACCGATGTTCTCACGGATAAAAGCATACGATAAAACTGAATGAACGCTCACGCGACCAGATTGAATCGCTTTCGTCGAAGGTCGAGATATACTCGTAATCATAAATGTTGCATGCCTGATAAACTCTGACTCGATCGCTCTAAATAAAGCGGTAAAGGATGCGGTGGGCGTTCACGAATATACGAGAAATATCGTTTCATAAATGGTGTACGAGGCTTGAGATGAAAAAATTTCCGAGGTTCGATATTGTGAAAAGGAACGAAAATAGATTGGAACTGTTTAAAAATGTTTTAATATCGCGAGAAGAAACGAAAGATTTTAGCGATTAGTCTTTTACGGTATCAACACGATTAATCGCAATTTGCTGGTACGTTTTAATACGCATTGCAGTTTTTTTTAATGAAACTATAGATATATTCTTATTACACTTATTGTACGATCCACTTATTTCCAAAAGCTGAGACTAACGTAGGTTTATTGATAATATAAAATGAATTATAGGGAGATCCACGAATGAATTCGATTTCCTTTTTATCGTAAAGGTAGCTCTGATCTTGGTAGCAGTGGCAGATTTTGCTTTTGGAGGCTGTAAGCGGAAAGTACACTTGAAAATTTAGTTTAACTTAGAATTTTTGGAACCTGAGCTTCACTTAAAATTTTTGAAAACTTAGTGTCGCTTAAAATGTTTGAATGCGCCTTTTTTGCCTTTACGAAAATCATTGCTCAGCAGAGTAACAAAAATATGTGCATTTTCACTTAAAAACCAAAAAGTGAAAAATCAGCGAAAAACTAAAATCTCCCATTATACCATCAATTTATCTAAATTTCACATACATACGTTCGCTTTAAATCGTACGTCTCTTAAACAGCTATGAAAAAGGTACGAACTTTCTTCGAACTTTAATTAACCCAATTAAACCTGAGAAGTGGAAGGAAAATAGAGGTTCGCTTTTTTCCCTCTTTTTTTTTTTCCGCCGAGAACAACGAGGTTCCGCGCGTTGATTGCAATTACGTCAACTTTAAATATCAAATCGGAAATCCCGTTTAATCCACTTTAGAGGCGGGAGAAGCAGCGAACCACGCTCGAATCCGCGAAAGGGAATTTTTCATTTTCGCGCCACGAGTACCGAGCACGAGAGAAAGAGAGAGAGAGAGAAGGAGAAGAGATCTGCGTGTAATTTTCGACGAGATGTTTCGCGCGAGTATTTTCTGGATTATTGACGCGGAAAATAAGGTCGACGAGGTTTACGACCTCGTTTCGGGGTTCCGATAGCGAGAGTCTCATTAAATGCACAGACGATCTATATTCGTCGACGCAGTGTCCATTGTATGGAAATAGGGGAACAGGAAACGGATGTCGCTGCGGAGACGATCAATGCAGCCGTCTGATAGAGCGTAGCACATTTCGGCACGTCAGATTTGGAAAGGGTTTTTCTGACGTGAGATAACAACGAAACAGGGATAAAGAACTTCGAAATGGATAAGAGTAAATTGGTCACGCTCGGTTTCCAGTAGTTTCGTTTAATCGAATCGGCGAGATCAGAAACCTACATAAGTGAATTTTTCTTTTTTAATCGAGTTATGCACTGAATCGCGTTATTTTTGTTCAAATACGTGAAATTAATGCAAGAACAGCACAAATCACGTATGGACCTGTGAGAAATTGGAATAATCATCTGGTACTATGTGAATTTATTTGATTTATTACGATTTTCAGTTTGAGAATTTATGAATTTACTTATTTTGGGTAATTCATACGATTTACCGGAGAAGCAACGTAATTTATCAAAATTAAAATAGAAAATTGTTTGACAAAAATTTGGAAAAAATATTATTATCGTGAATTTCTGGAAAAAAATAATCTTTCTTTGCTTATTTTTGAAATATTAGTCAACTTATGCGATTTCCGATCTCACCGATTCAATTGAAACGTTGCTTAACGAGACGAACAGTTTGTACAAAGCTTTTCGAGAAATATTCGTTGTTTCACACGACGAAGTAGAAAGTAGAACGGCACGAGTAATTTTGTTGGAAAGTCGTAATACAATGGGGAATCGTAAAGTTGTAAACGGCAAATAAAATTACGTTTAACCTCGTGTTAAGATTTACGTAAGTGTTTCTATCTGTTGGAAAATTATTGAAATTTATGGATTGACACGGGGGAAAATGTTTCCATAGCCACATACGAAACGTAACTTTGTATGCAACGAGCATGTACTCGATATCGAATTATTGCAATCTAAACGGACACAGCGATACTCGCTTATTCATGAACCAGTTTCGAAAGAGTTCAGTTAACTCTGTAGCATCTTGAGATAACGTATCACTGAACCTTAAAAGGCTGAAGAAGCAGCCGTGGGTCAAAAGACTCGCATGAGCAACCAAGTGTAACACTTTGCGTATGACCTACGTGAGATACGCCATCTTCAACCGTGGCAATTTAAAGACGCGTCCCGACCAGGTATTTTGCAAACGATTCTAGAGAAGCAGAGGCAATTGCAGAACTGAGTAAGATAAGCAAACTTGTACCAACTTTACCGAACAGATAAAAAGTGAAACGACGGGTTCTATAAAGAGTTCTTCTCAACTCAGTTCTCGCTTGTTACTGTACCTTCAATTGTTCAAATAAACTTGAGCTTCGCGGAGAGACGTTTAAATACACAAATACACGCAAACGGTTAATTACAAGAGTAATTGTTCAAAGTATGTAACCAATTCAACGCGAATTATAGTAACTTCATTGTCTCAGGACGTAGAATGGTAACACGTGAATTTATTACACGGAAGAAATCCCGAGCTTTCCTTTGTCTTTAAATGTACGACACGAGAGTGTACAAACGTTACAAATTCAGCATAAATCAAATTTAGCAGAAACCTTGGTGTTTCTAAATGACCAATAATTAATAAATAACTGATAAGCTAATTAATCGACATCCTGAGCTATACATCACGTGCCAGACTACTTCAGGTATTGATATCGAACCTATCAATTCTCTAAATTCATTTTTCCACGGTATTCAACCTACCAAATCACATCTCTTCCTCCTCCTCGCTCGTTGAAACGCACGATAAAAGTCGCGCCCTCGAAACATATTTAACGCAATCCATTCTCCATAGAAAGTCGAAACGGCGACAGGACTTTTAAAGCCTGATAATTGCCTCGTAACGAAAAAGTTTCCCTATTCTTGACGCGAATAAACGCGGACGCCAGTTTATCCAACGTCAAACCAGCCAACCACTTTCACCGAACACTGTGAAAAGTCGAGCTAAACCAACCTCCGTAGACGGCAAATAGCACCGGCTCCACCACCTCCTTCGAGTAAACCTTACCGGAAGATCGGTTCGCCGCTCACTTGACTCGCTTTATGCCAGTCTCGTGTTGTTCTCGTCTCGGGATAGTCCCGTGGCAAAAACTCCTCTGTCTCTGTATTTTCGTTGCGTTTCGGTGTGTAGAGGAAACGAGAAGAACCTCGATACCAAAGATCCGTCTATGTGAATCGTGGAAAAAATCGATCGATCTTCATATCAAAGATCGTCCCATGTGAATCATGAGAAAATCGATCGAGCTAAATTCGTCGAAGAGTCGATTGGTAGAATTAGCGTGAAATTCATTGGAAAACGAGCAAATTCGATCGATAGAAACGATCTTCGTTCAGAGACGTCCGGCAATTCGATCCTCTTCCGGTTTACAAAACCGCATCCATTATTTGCGAATGTTTCGTCAGCGTTGCGGTTTGCTTTATCAGGGTCAAAGGAGATATTGATACGGCGTGATACGACTATGCTTGAATAACAACGTTCTCGTGATCATCTTCAGTGGACAGTACTTCATTGGTAGTGCTTCGCTTTTCATCCAAGATTTTCACGGATTTAGTAATCTGTTGCGTGTGTCTGACAGGTAATGTTGCTTACAAGATTCACGAGGAATATCCACTGGTCTTCTATACATACTCGAGAGTTGTTTCGCGTGGTATCCCGTTTCAGAGGCACGCGTAATTAAATCGTGCTTCCGCTTCGTTCCGTCCGTCTCGGTGCGTATTCTGCGTGCCTTTTATTAATTAACAAGGGGACACACGAACGAACTGTTCGCCGGGGTGAACGATCGAGTGTTTGCTCGCTACGAAAAAAGAGGAAGGAAATTGAACGGAATAACGAGGAACTCGAGTAAATCGTGATACGAACGAAGGAAAACAGTGGAACAGTTGTTTCCTCGAACGGAATAGGAAATGAACGAAGAGAAACCTCGTTGCGTTGCGAGTACATAGCTCGTTAAAGGATCGTTTTTAAAAGCCTTTTGTGTATTCTATCGTGTACGGCAAAATTAGAAGAAAGCCGACCCGATTGTGTTTCGAAGAGCAAAAGTTTATTTCAACGAAGAAAGAATCCTGATGGAACAGCGTATCTTTAGATCTCTACTTGATTAACTTTCTTTCTGGTGCATGACTTAGAGGAGAGCTAACGCGTTGCATAAACTATACGATTTGAAACTCGTTAAACGAACCCATGATGCGCGCAGAAACATCTGACGATGTTCTTTTAACGATCCTCTCGAATCCGCCGATTTCTTCTCGCTATCCAGGTCAATAGCTTTTTCGCCTCGCGACGAAATCTCGTCGAGTTTAAAGTTCCGTTTGATGAAGAGAGTATGCAAATGAAGTGAAGAGAAAGTGTGTGTGTTGTAACTGTTATGGACATAAACAATCGAAGAAAAGAGAAGAAAATAACCGATCGACGAGGGTGAAACGTGGAAAAGTTAGGGGAAATTCTGGAAACATGGGAAGCAGCAGCAAGACGAGGAAGCATTATAAAAAGGACTCGCGATTCGTTAAGGATCTGTACACGTTCACATATGATGATTCCGATCTCGTAAGATTATGCCTCTCTAGTGGGCTGAAAGAATGGCAACAGAGTATTCACGATTTCACAGTTGATTATTCGAAACGCGTAAAGAAACGAATGAGTTTCAAGCTTGATTCGGTGTAAAAAGTAGGACTGGAATTAAAGTGGAATTTTTATATTTCTCTTTCCAAACGGTAGAGTAAAATGACACAAGAATTTTTCATTTTTAATTATTTTTATTAATCGCAAGTTCCATGAGAAATGTGATGCTACACGATAACTCTATTTGCAACGTAAATTAACAAGTGCTTCAAGTTCACGATAAAGATCCGACACAAGTCGACTATCAAATCTGATCTTCCATCGTTCTTCTGTAGTTCTAAAGCAACTTTAAATATCGATGAACGCGAAGTAACAAATCGCTTTTGATGAACGCGAAGCATTGATTAACACCCAATTAAACACCCAGTATTTTTACGTACAGAAGAAAAGGAAGAGTTCGAGCAAATAAGAAAACAGAAAGAAGTCTTTCTCGTGATAAGATATTAACAATTGGAGTATTGTTTCAACGAGCCTGTCCAATAAATTGCTTCTTCCACTTGTTATCGCTTGAAGGAGGTTTAACGACCTAAACGATTCGATTTGGAGGAGGGAAAGTGGGTCGAGAGTGTGCAGATGTTAAGAAACTGATTTTGACATTCACGCACCAGTTAATTACAATGAGAGAAAAAAGTGTTTTTTTTTTCTTTCTTCTCTTTATGATTTACGCAATTCAATAGAAAGCAAGGTTGTTGAATCGAATAGTTTCGAAATGTTTTCCCTTTCAGTTATTGACTAACGCTTTTCACGCTACATTTTATACACAGTTTTCCCAATTTTCGAATTTTGCGAATTTTTAAAATTTCATAAATCGTTGGTGAATTTCGTGGAACGGAATATCGTCGATTGCACAGAATACCTAGAAATAGACGCGCTTTTAATACTCTGAACTTCACCCTTGCAGTCCAGCGAGCTTTTTCCAGCCGAGTAGCTCAGTTAATCCGAATTTATTGGCAAAGACATGTACCGTCGAATGTACGGAATATTGGAACTTTAACAGATCGTATTTAGGGACGTGTTGTTTGCAACTGTACAGAAGGCAATCGTGGATTTTCTATTCGAAAGTTTCCACGTTGAACGATTATATTATTTATCTATCTCGTTTAATACTCACGCATCTTTGGAAAGAAACAAAATTAATTAGGACTCTTTCACTTAATTACACTTTTCGAGAATTGAAAATACAGAGAAGATGTTACAATGTATCGTTCATTTTACTGGGTCATGGTACATAAGCATAAAAAAATGAAAAACTTTCAATTCCCTAAATTGCGTGCCACGAATGCTTCTTCTCTAAAATTATCTCCTCTTTATTGATTCAAATTTATTTCTAAAATTGTAGAAAATAGAATTAATATGCAAATTTCAAAGCATCCCTAAACTGCGTGCCAGGAATCTATCTTCTTTCAAATCAACTCCTTATACTTATTAATTCAAATTTATCTCTAAAATCGTAGAAAAGAAGAAAACTAATATGCAACGAAATGTGAAATCATAAAAATTTAAAGGAAAATAGACATTTTAATCTTACACTCCCACTTTTTTCTCCAAATCGAGAGATCTTCTTTGAGATTGCACCGAAATGATAATAGCGGTGTTTGTTCAGCACGAGATTATGACGTGTTAAGGGAGAGAGAAAAATTGAACACCGTTGAACGAGACGGGGAATTACTTTATCGTTCCGCTTTGTATAAAAGAATCTCTGTCGCCATTCGCACAGCTGAAAGTGACTTTTATCAATGGCCTGTAATCGATAGTATCGATTACCAAGCTGGTTTTCATTTCTGGGGCATCAGGAGGACGATAAAGAGACGAGCAAGGAACAGCCAAAGTCAGAAGGGACGACGATTGCATCGCTCCAGAAATCCGACGAGACGGAGGAGCCTGAAAGGGAAGATCTTGTCACGCGATTCGATAGACTGGTGCAGAACGATCTCGATGAAACTCTTCAGGTGTGACTTCCGGCGAGACCTACGGAATCCTACAGAATATTCGAGAAACCCTTCTAAATCCGGCCAGGCTATTCCAACTATCAGAAGAGTCAAATTTCACGCGTCTAGATCAGCTTCGAATTTTTCTTATCAATTCGAACCGGTTGAACGATGAGTTTCGAACTGTTGCCAAAAGGAACAACCTGGTTTCGAGCTTTTTTTTTCTTTTTGCCAAGATAAAAAGTTAGACGATTTCATGCCAAACGAAATGTATGTAACTTTATTTCGAACTCCTTGCCAAAGTGAAAAGTTTCCTTTTTCCGAGATATGTATGAAAAATAGAGATTCGGTATAGTAGGTCATTTGTTGTAACAGAAATTAAAATTCGAATTTATACGAAGCTATTTTGCATGGGAATATGGTGGAACTGTAATCTGTACGAATATGTCAAGGAATAAGAGGATTCGAATAATTGCTAGCTTCAATAATAGATAATATAGTAATAGAGATTTGCCGTTTCTCTGGCTCTCTATTAATAATTTCACGTTCAGGTATTAGAAGCTGACGTTCGTGAAACTAGATTCGAGGATTCATTCCGTCTGTATGAATACTTTAAGTCCACCAGACCGGATAGATGAAATTTTGAGAATTACAACCTGCAGTAATAATTTGAATTTCACTTCGTCTCTTATACTCATAATTTTCATTCGGATGAGTTACATTTATTGTTATTAAAATTTCTAGAAATAACAGTGACGTACAATTTTGTAATTCCAAAGCACTGCTCAAATTATTATCTATCTAAACATTCAAAAAACGTTGAATTTATCACTTGTTTCGCGTTGTATTGATCTTTTCATAGAAAAAAATTCACATTAAAAAATATTTTTTCTATAATAAAATATTAACACAAAATACTTGCTCTTATAATACAACCCTTAAAAAAAAAAGAAAAAAATCGACGCAGCACAAAATAAACGATAAATTCAATTTTTCTTCAATTTTTCACTTAGATCACCTTCATAATCACTATTGCATACTTACACATGACTCAAGCCACTCTCCTAATCACACTGAAAACTGATCACTCGAAAACCAGACCACGACAAAGGGGTGCCACCTAAATCTGTTTAATTTTCATTGAAACAGGAAGCATTCTATTTCCTCTTCCTCGTACTCTCCCTCGTAAGAGGCAAGAGGTGGGGAAACTGAACAACGAGGATAACGAGGAATTTTTCGCACCATTAAATTAACGCGAAATCCATTGGCAACACTCCACACACCCCACTCCCATCTAATTCGTGACACATTATACAGACACGAACGTTAGGAAGATGTTGTCAATCTCATTAATGGTTTCACTCCCACGCGGCTACGATTTCGATAGAGTTTGAGGAGGAGAGACGCGGAACTTGGGGGGATTAAAGCACCGAGGGGGTTTCCTCCCCCCCGTGTCTGTGTACATGCGTGTGTGCCTGTGTGTGTAACGAGTAATCACACTTCAGATTTTTTTTTCTGTCTGTTCACAGCGGCGAAACGACCGTGAAGAGATACGAAGGAAGTTGGCGATGGGTCCAGACGCCGAAGACTTGCGCGCTGAACGCGGAAGAAAGCCGAGCCTTCAGTCGCGGCTTCAAAGCGGTCCGTATCACTCGAATACTATGACACGTCGCGTATCTCGCTTATGAGAAAAAATATGTATCTCGTTAGATTTACGCGGAAACAATTCTCGATCGTGATTGCACGTGTTATCGATTGACGCGCGAGATGGTATAAAGAAGTTTGATTGAAATGTTCGGAATTGCGGATACTGTGAGGCTAACAATGTGGAAGTAACGAAAGAAATAGGTGGAAATTTTTCATTCGTAACGGTACACGGTTTTTCTCAGGTGTAAAAGGTGTTTCTTTTTGGATGCTGCGAACTGTTCGGAATAAACGACGATTGCAAATTATTGTGCAACGACGGAAACAGTAATTTGAAGTGAAGAGTTGAAGTGTAAGATACAGTGGTAATTAGTGAACTTCGTGTTATTCTTCGTTGGTCTAATATGAGATAGAAGATAAATCTGAAGGACTGAATGATTTCTCGGTGATTTTTATAAATTTAATTTTACCGATTTCAAGTGATTAATGAATTTTCTTCGGATGTGAAATATTAATAAACAACCTGTGCTAGCGCAAGATTTATCTCTTCCTAAGTTTATCGTTGACACCACAGGTGGTACGAAAGTTTTAAAGAACAGATAAACCAAACTTTGTTTAATCTACCGTCCTTCGTATCTGCTTTATTACAACAACATCTCCGCTAATTTTTCTCTAAATTAGAATATTAAAACAGAAGATACGAAACAGTGACAAACAACTTTATCCCCCTTACCATTTCCGCTTAATTTTCAATCACCAAACAATCGAAACTAATTACAACAAATTACCCTGTGTATTAAATATGAAACAAAACATAAAATATTCGCGTAGGAAAAAGAGTAAAAGTTAAGAAAGTAGCGTATTCTTGTTGTGTTTATAAAAACCTCTTTTTGCAGGAATGAATCTTCAGATTTGCTTCATGAACGAAACACCATCGGACACGGAGTCTCCGTGCTCGGAGAACGATGCTTCTCCAGGAACCACGCCAACCACGCTCAGCTCGAAGCAACAGCCGAAACAACCGATGCCAATTAGACCTCAGGTGCTCAGTCTTCCTCCTTTAAGGCTGGACACCGGCTCGAATTCAACTCCGATCGACGAGGCTGACTTCTTCGCCAGACAGGCCAGATTACAGACCGAGGCACGAATGGCCCTCGCTCAGGCCAAGGAGATGGCGCATATGCAAATGGAAGTTGAGAGACAAAGGCTGAAACAGAGTCCGATCACAGAGATGGTGCGATCTAGCCTCGAAAAAGTAAGTTCTACGTATTATAGAGGAATAGGATTTTTCTAAATCCTTCGGAAAAAGAAGGTTTCTCAGCGTCGGGATTCGAGAATTCACGATGATCTTTAGGTCCCTAGCGTCACTGACCAGCCGTCTTAGGCGAATTCGGATAAATTGACGTTCTGACGAATGAAAGATCTGATTGTTAGTTAACGTATTCAACCACCATAGCCAACACCGTCTTCTAACTTTTACGGAGTTTCTATCGTTCTTCTAAATTTCCTGCATACGTTAAATAAGAGTGGAAAATGTGCGACAAAAGTTGTTAGGAAGAAGAAAACGCAAAGTAATTTTTCTATAGAGTTCAGCATACACGATTCTCCGAGGTGTCTGAGATGATCTATAAAATTGAAATGTACGGAATCGAAAGAATGGGAAACTTTGACACGAAAAGATGCAGGACACTGAGATTTTCCATTGTCGTTCTCAGGTTGGCGTTCAGCTGGGCGAGGACAGACGCAGATTGTCCCGAGTACTGTTAACGGAGCTAAACGTCGCGCAGCTTCAAGTGGTAGCAAATGACTTGCACGCGAGAATCGCTGCTCTGAATGAGGCGTTAGTCGAGGGACTTTTGAGAAGGGACGATTTACACATGGAACAAGATTCAATGCTCGTCGACGTCGAAGATCTCACCCGATATCTGTAAGTTCTCCTCCTACAATGAGGTTGAACCGTTCCTTTTTTTCTTCTCTCCTCCTTTCCCTATTTTTTTCTTTCCCCGCCCCCTTTTTATCACGTATTTTTTTCCCATTGCCCTCGCTCGAAGCGACGCAGTCTCCTCGACGCAGTCTCCTCGACGCAATTAAGATTACTTACTAGAGAGAAAAGCATAGCCGTGAAAGGACGCATGGCCCATTTTGCTGAATGCAAAGTAGAACGAGAACTCTTAGAAAGAAGGATCGGCGCTTTTACGTACTTGAGCAACCACATTTCTTTTTCTTCTTTTTTTCTTTTTACAGCTGTTGTGCCGCTTTATTTGTGAAATTACGCGTCTCGCTGGCGCAAAGCGGTGGAATTAAAGGCACGAGATATATAAGTCTGATTAGAGGGGGGGGGACGTAAATTGATGATTGAGAGAATGAAGAAACATGGAGCTTAAGAATTTTTCTGTTAGACGATTCGTTTCACTTTCAACCGCTATGAAAGTGTGCAGTGTTAATTAGCTATTAATTAAACAACAAATCATGGAGAAATTTTTCTTCATCCTAAGTCCAGTAGAGTCTAATATCTTCTAAAGGAATACAAAACTTTCTCGTGCTTTTATCCGCTGCAACTTTCAACACTTTAAAGCACCTTTGATTGTTTCAAATCGCAATTTACTCTGCTGCGTCTGACAAAATCCGCAACGTTCATTCTGTTACTTTTACAATTGTAAAAGTAACAGGATCGATCGAAGAGACTCAATTTATCTCACCGTATCAACTATAAATCCCCCTTATCCTTAACTGTGTCAATGAGATTTCAACGATTCCAGCTAAATTCTCAAAATATTAGAAAAATTCACCAAACCAAGATACGATTAACAACACTAACGCTTCCCTAGCAAAAACCACCAATCACACCGTTGCATCAATCTCCCCCTGTCACGTTTCGCTAATTTTGCTAATTCATCATCGGCATTTCATTTCACAGCAGCTTCTCTTAGGTTAATCCCAGTATCTTAGCCAACCGTTACAACTCTTCCGGGCAAACTATGACAAAAACATATCTATTTTCCGGCCTGTCGCGTTAATAAAACAGCTTCTGCTGCGTTCACATGCACAGAGGTGCCAAGCAGGAGTCGTTGAAGAAGAAGCAGAACACGAGGGAGCAGCAGACAGCGGCTAGCAGAAGTCATCAGCAGACGAACGCCGGACAGAACAAGTTGTCGTTGAAGCCAAAGCTGACGCACCGCGGTCTAGTCTCGCTTGTGAGGAAATAATGCCTGGCCACGAGACTACGTGGTCTCGTCGGAAATTAAACGAGCAGGGAGCACAGCACCGTGAGGACTCGAGCAACGTAGCGTAGACACTCTTAACTCGACGTCGTCACGATCGAAGAAACTGGGATACCCAGACCGATTTCAGCTGAATTCAATGAAGAACGCTTCCAGTGTCGATGCTTGGACTCCCTCTTTTTCTTGGAAAAAACACACCACACACACACACACACACACATGCAGACACACGAGAACAAAACAGAACCGTTCCTCCACAGGAAAGGCGCATTGGAAAAATTCGTATTTCCAAGGTAGAAAAGAAGAAACCGTACGAAATATCATCTGACGAGGCAACAGTAGCAAACAAAAGAAACAGCAAAGGAAAGACTAACGGAACCGAAAAACAAAAAACACAAAAAAAAAGAATACAATCGTTTTGCTCCTCTATTTAAACGAGAAGGGGGGAGGATTCGAGAATACATACGTAACGCAGCGAAGAAATCCAACTCCAGACCCTCCCCCATCCATCCGCCCCTTTCGATAAACCGGTTGTTCATAGGGGTAAGATGGAAATGATCTTTTCCAGAATTTCCAAAGTTTTTACTGCTTCGTCGTTTTGTCGAAATGACGGAAAGTAGAGTAAATTAACGAGAGTACGTGTGTTACTTACGTGCGTATTATGTATCCATAGCCGGACAAAGTAGCGACGAGCAAGAAGAAGTTCCCCCATTTTATCCTTCCGTGTCCTAACACCACTTGAATCGTCTCCTCGATCGAGACGACGAGCTTAAGATTCGCGGTGTTCTCGGTCTTCTCTTCTCTATATTAGCTGGTCCCCTTCAACCCCTTCCGCTCCACTGGTTAATATATCTTGCGGCCATGCATGCATGTGTTTCCCGGGTGTATCGCCTTTGTATGATTAGTATCATAAGCGGTAGGCAGGCAGATCTCTCCTCTCTATGTTGTAAATAAGCGAACGCGGGCCAGCGGTAGCAGAGGTTCGGGACTGGGCGAGTCCTTGCGTATTAACGCGGTCCCTCCATCGCCAACATACGAAATACACACACACACACTTGTTCTTTGTTCTCCCCGCAGTCGGGAACCATTTCTTTTCTCTCTAGATTTCTCGACGTCTTCCAGTTCGGGGCGAGTCAACTTGATCTATTTAACGAATCGCGCGATTCGCGCGTATCAGCCCTATGTGTGTTAATCCTGGCGTATCGAACGGGGCGCATCACGATGGAACGACGTCGACGCGCGGCGCGTGTGTGTTGTTGTTATCGTTGAAAACGATTACAGATCCATCTCCTATTGTACAATCGATTCATCGTAATTCTACCGTGAAAGTTTCTATCTATACGGTGCAAACGTTGCTTCGTTTACTTGATCGATCAAACGGATATCGAATTGCGTATGTTTCAATCTTTCGATCTTTTTTGTTCCTTCGAGGAATCGTTGTTCAATTAATCTTGTGTAATTATCTTGTGTAGTTTTCGGTGAATTTGTTGTCGATCACGGTGTACTTTTTTTTTTCTTCTTCTTTTAATCCTCCAACTGGTGAAACGGCAGAGAAATATGAATGGTGTTCGCTGAAAGCTGCAATTCGGTTGGTCTAAATAAAAATGCGTTAATAATGCGCACGTCACAGACTTATAAGTAAAGACGGAACGAACAATGTTTAGTCAAGTGTGTTATTCATTGCCACACATACGTACACCCACACACACACGCGCGCGCATACACACACACAAAGTCGAGAGATTTAAGGTCAACGATGCAATATGCACGAGAGAAAGCGAAAGGAAGACAATTATGAATGCCGCAAACGAGGCATTTTTTTTTGTTTAGCAATGGGTGCACGATGTGCGTCATGAAACGTTTAAAAATACGCGTTCAGAAGGTATAGTTTTCGGTTTTTGTTTTTTTTTTTTTTTTTGGTTTTTCTCCTTTCAGTCGATCCATTCGAAACAACCTAACCACTCAGTTTAGCAGTACATTTACACTCGTGTTCAAAGGGTTGAAATAAATTTTAATCAAAAAGCATGCACAACTAGAGGCTGTAGAAGAGTTTACTCGATATTACGAAAAGTCCGATACGTGTGTCTCTCGCTTTTCCTGTAAGGTTCGCTCTGCGAAAAACGTGAACTTTTTTCTCCGTGGAAAATTGTATCGTGCGAAAAGGGATGCGATCATTTGTACATAGTACACGTAGTGATAATTTTACAAAAAAGAAAAATTGCGAGAGAAAAAAAGAAAGAAAGAAGAAGAACTTCCGGAAATTGCTGAAGAAACCGATACTTTTAACGCGCGTTTAAATGTAAATCTGTGAATCATGCGTTGAACAATAGCCAATGTAACAACGTACAATAACGAACGATACTAGACAAATATTGCTACACTCCATTTGAGTCGACTTTATTGTTAACGTGTTTCTTCATTTTGTACAAGAAAAGAAATACACGCAGGATCGAGGCACTCTACCTGTCATCGTGAAACATACTTTTCAAACGATGATACCACTTATGAGAACGCAAAATCGAACGGTGCTTGATAATTCGAAATCACATCTTTCAAAGGTAAATTTATCCATTGACGAACCATTTGACATCTACTGTTGTATTACTTCGTTCGAAAAAAAAAAAAAAATCGGTATAATACACTCGCTCGATTACCCACCAAAAGAAGATACGAGAGTAACTTTACGTTCCTTCTGTATCGCGAAACACTCCCAGTGTACAAACCGATCGAGAATGTAATCATTTGAAATACTCTGTTTATATTTTTTCAGCAATGATCGATTAAACTTGTCACCGTTAGTTATCCTCATATTTTATCCGCCTCCGAATTACATTGAAAATAAATTTCGAATCCGGATGATTTTAATTGCACTGTGCAGAAAGGAGACTCATTTCAGAATCTGGAATAAGTTCTTGCTCTGTCCTTTGTATCGCGGGACCGCGAACACGGCGAAAGAGAACGAAGAACGGCGTCGCATGTCTGTTTTAAGTTATCGCCGAAACGATAATCGAACAGATGAAGGGAGTAAAAGGAAAAAAAAAAGAAAAAAAGAAACCGATTAGTCCACGAACTAGCCATAAAAAAAAAAAAATGTACTCGAAATAGGAACGAAGAAGAACTGACTAGACAATTGTTTCAAATGAAAAGCGAAACTTCTTTGTCGACCGCCTGTTGAAAAATACTTTAGACTTAGCGAAAGCGTAATCAAAAGTATGTTAATCGTGTACTTGAAACGGATTAACCGAGAGTTTTGCATAAAACTACTTCACGTATTGATTTTCATGTATTCATACGTTAAGGATCCTACCCAAGTACAGTGAGTTCGTTAAAGACAGCGCAGAATCTGTATTATCTGTGAAGTTTCGAGGTCTCTTGATTTCGTATTTGCGCTAGTCCAGCGTGGAATCACTATTAACAGTGATACGAAGAATTGTTATAAGCGAACAAGTAACGATAAATAAACGACAGAACATTTGATCTCCGAGAAAAAAAACAAAAAAACAAAAAAACGCGATATTATTCTCACCCTCCCTATGAAAATTATCTGCCAAATCTACGCAAAACGGAAGAAAACTTTTAGAATTTTCTCTAAACAAAAGAACGCAAGAATACTAAAAATTCACAATTTAGAGCGGAGAAGAAAATATTACGGTGCTAGGTAAAAGTTATTACGAAGTTGCTAAAAGAAACAAATTTGTATTTCAGAATGTTCTCGACATTGACGAACAATCTCGATGCTTCTAAATACGATATTGAGATAAACGTAATTTACGATGGTAACGTGAAAAAAACTTAATACAGATACTAATTTACACGATAAATTCGAAAGCTTACGTTGCAGCCGAAATGTCAAGAATACCTTTTACAAATCGCGTTACAATCGTTTGTAAAGCGAAAAATCGGGATAATTAGTTCGTAAATCTGAGAGAATAATTAAAAGGTTGTCGACATGGATTCGCCGTGTAAAAAGGGACCCTTTCATTAATTCAAGATATCACGGCGTCATCGACGCATTACAAGCGGGCAAAGGCCACTAATTAACTATCGATCGCATTTTAATTAAAGGTCGTGTATATTTGGAAACTCGAAACATAAGCCGGGAAACTTGTGAATATCTACGAAAATACACACGTCGAATACGAAGGTATTTTGATTAATTGGTCTCCTCGTCTATTGGCGTGAACAAAAATAAAAAAAAAATAAAATAATAGATTAGATTGCAAAATATTTTATCTCAGGACTTCGAGTACAGGCAGAAATTAAATCGTGTAGAATCGACACATGGAAAAATGTAAGTCGTACGGAATAACCTTTTGTACTAAATTAATCGATTATAAAAAAAAAAAAGAAAAGAAAAGAAAGAAAGCGAAGGGAGAAAAGAAAATATAACGTACAGAGGGGGAATTTTCACATAAAGTATCAGCTATCTGCGTATAAATCGTAAACTGTACGATACAACTCTAACAATAAAAAAAAAACATTTAATCAGAAGTCATCCTTTTCAGACACTTCCACGCCTACGCAATGATTTACAAAAGATCATCGAGATGAGGTACATTCGTTTTCAACAAAGAAAAAGAGAAAGAAAAAAAAAAACATGACATTCGAGTTCCCTTCGCTTTGCGTGTGCCATCTCTTCAACCCGTTCGATCACAATACATAAATTACCACGATCAAATAAAAATATCAGTCGAGATTCTTTTGAAACAAGAACAATTCATCGGACAAAAATGATCGAGTTCGCATTTAAAATGATCTATTCTCTCCGACGACGAGATTCAATTCATCAGTCGGCAATGGTGGAAAACGTCTACATAGACTCGCGTGTTATCTACAAAATACTTTAATCATAATATTAATTAATAATATACAAATTGTAAATAACTAAACAATAATAAAATATGCTGTAACAAGTTCTTCCGCATCTTCTTGCTTCTCTCTCTCTCTCTCTCGCTCTCTTTCGCTCTCTCTTTCGTATCTCGCGTTGTCGAAATTCTTTTCCAGCCCGCCGCAGAAAACAATGCGACAGGTAGCCGGAACAGGGAAGAAGGCACAAAAAAAAAAAAAAAAAAAAAAACAAAAGGTAAAAAAAAAGAGAGGCGGTGTTCCTATTTTGATAATCGCTTCCGTACATCTAGCTCGCTCACAGCTTATTAATAAATCGGTGAATGACGTCACACTCATACCAAGTTTCCTTTAGTTTCCGAAAATTCTTCTTCGAAAACCAAAGGAATAACGAGTGTTGCAGGAAAGGGTGGGAGGTGGTGGTGGTGGTGGTGGTGGTAAGGTAAGGTAAGGTAAGGTAAGGTAAGGTAAGGTAAGGTAAGGTAAGGTAAGGGAAAAAGGAAAATGGAAGAGGGGGTGGAAGGAGAGGGAAAGGAGCACCATTTAAAAAAGACATCTCAAGCAGGAACACGTAAGCAACCTGCGAGTAGGTGGGTCGAGTTAACGATTTGTGTAATATAGCCGACGAGAAATTTTGTTTTCCGCTCGTCCCGGAACAACGTGACGAACACCGACACGTCGCTGAGGTACACCGTGGAAAGAACACAAGCGGCGACGACGATTTAATAATAATAATAATAATATTAATAATAATAATTATAATAAGCTGTTTCATTAGCTCGTTACACATTTTTTTCTTTTCCTTTTCCTTTTCTTTTCTTTTTTTTTCTTTTTACCTCGATGCCTTTGTCACTTCTAGCGCAAATTTTCTCCCTACTCGGCACCGACCTTTACGATATTGTTCCTAACGTAAGCCTCTCTCGACTATACGCGTGATTTTGTTTGTTTTTTTTTTCGGTATTTCGTATCGTCCATCCTTCCAGCGATCTATAGCGAATATATCGTACATCGTATTAAAAAATTCTTAAGTTACAATATCATATCTCTACTATACAATGAAGCTCGTTCGTGGCGTTGTTCCTTAGTATTTCACCGTTGTGCTCGTTCTAAAATTTACGTCCCTTTTTTCTCTGTCTCGCAAGTTCGCAATCTGCCTGTTTCTTTGTTGTTTGGTCGCGATGCGCGTCAAATGGCAGTGAGAGCAAATATTCACGAAATATATAAAGCGCCTGTCGAGTCTTTGAGCACCTTGAAAGTCTTCGGAAGTTTGAATTTAGAAACGAGTGTAAGAAAAAAAAGAAAAAACGCGTTCATACGGACAATTTAAAAATCAAAGAATTTCCGAGACTTTCACAGGTTTCAAAGTTAGAATAATAATGTATTTTCTATTACT